CGCCCCCCGACCCCCCCCTGTGCCCCGCCCCCCCCAGGGCAGCCAGTACTGGCGCTTTGATGATGGAGCCCTCGACCCCGGGTACCCACGCAACATCTCCGAAGGCTTTGAAGGCATCCCGAACAACATCGACGCGGCCTTCGCCCTCCCCGCGCACAGCTACCACGGCAATGAGAGAGTCTATTTCTTCAAGGGTAAGGGGCGCAGCCCCCCACTCCCGGGCAGAGCCAGGCACCGGCGGCCATGGGCAGGACACCCCTCTAACTCCTGCTCCCCCTCCAGTGCCTGTCCCCCACTAATGCCCTGCGCATCCTCTCCTAGACAAGAACTACTGGTCCTACGACTTCGCCCACCAGCCCACGCAGGCTGAGTGTGAGAAGTCCTCGCCCTCCGTTGTGTTCAGCCACTATGCCTTCATGAACCGCGACAGCTGGGAGGACATCTTCCAGATCCTCTTCGGTGGCAGGATGAGTAAGGGCTGGGCCAGCCCCGGGGGGGAAAGGGCCGGTGGGTGCCATTATAACCCGCACTGACAGGGCGTGAGGGGTGCAGGCACCCAGGGAGGAGGGAGCGATGCCTGGGAGCGCGGGCAGGCTGGATGAGCCACCATGCTGGGCAGCAGCCCAGGCTATGCACAGGAACCCCCCAGGCCGCAGCTGCATCTCCCACAGCATCCCGAATCTCACCCTCTGCAACCCAGTATGCCCCACACTGCTGAGCCCATCCCCAGCCATCTCGCACCACAGCATCGCTACTGAGGACTGTTTATTCCCACTGGAGCTGGAGATGCCATAGGAAAACCCCAGCCCTGGGCGAGAGGAATGAAAGATGGAGCGGAGGAGAAGGGGGCTCAGCAGCACAGGGCTGATCCCAGCCAAGGGTGGGGCAAAGGGCTGCTCCTGACTGCCTGGCCCATGTCCCCATCACGCATCCCATCCAGTCTGGGATCCTTTGGAGCATCCCTGTGGGTCTCGGAGCAGGTGCTGGGAGCTCTCTGTGGGGCTGGGCTCTGCTCAGCCCCATACGTTGCTGCCCCTCTCATTTGCCCTCTGCCTCTTTGCCAGGCGGGGCGCCCAGCAGCAGAGACTGGCGGGGGGTGCCCAGCCGGCTGGATGCGGCCATGGCCGGCAGGATCTACGTGGCCTCCCACCAGCCCCGGAGGAGGAAGTCTCGCCGCCAGCGCAAGAGGTACAAGAGCCACCGGTCACTGAATTTGGGTTTCTGGACGTGGCTGCAAAACGATTCTGACTCCGCGGATGTCGAAAGCGACTGGCTGTCAGGCTCCCAGTGCGAGACCCTCCAGAGTGTCTACTTCTTTGTAGGAGGTGAGTCTGGGGCAGCAGGATCCGGGAGAGATGCAGAACCAGGGCTGCCGGGGCAGGGGGAGGTCTCCTCTCGCTCTCCAATATCCCTAAGCTCCAGGATGCAGTGGGAAGTTGCCCAGGGCTGGCAGCTCCCCGCAGCTCCTGACAGCCATCTCCCCTTCCTCCCAGACAAGTACTACCGTGTCAACCTCCGCACCAAGCGCGTGGACCTGGTGCAGCCCCGTTACCCCCGCTCCATCGCCCGGTACTGGT